CTACGTGTGTATCATCGCCACCATCCTGAGGATCCCTTCCACCGCCGGGAAGAAAAAGGCCTTTTCCACCTGCTCCTCTCACCTCATCGTGGTGACACTGTTCTACGGGACCCTGATCACCGTCTACATGTTACCCAACACCGGAGCCCTGAAAGCCCCAAGCAAAGTGTTTTCTGTCTTCTACACGGTGCTCACGCCCCTGATTAACCCCCTCGTCTACAGCCTGAGAAACAAAGATGTCAAGGAGGCTGTGTGGAGAACCCTGCAGGAATGTCGGGTGTTCCTAGGAAAGGTTTGAAATGGGAATACATCAAAGAGCTAGTTAGAAAGGATCCATTGACGTGGTCCAAGTTTTTATCAGTGCAAGTCTCCCGCATTATAGGAAGGCGGCGCTGAGGGTATTGTTAGAGCTGTAGCCACCATTCAGTTGTGTTTCCTTAGGTCAATGGTTCTGAATGTGCATTCTAACGCACATACAGCAGAAACTGCGCTGCCTTTTTTTAAAGGAAACTTGATTGTTGAGGCGTCATTGAAACAGGGCTCAATCTTGTAAAAGATGTCTTTACAGAACTAGAGAAAGATTAGGGTCTTTTTTTCCCATGAATGTAAGAACGTCGGAAGGACATCTCATGTGAGAAAGTAGTTGAGTAGTCCTTGACTACGTGTGGCAGGTTTTTAACCCATTTCTGAGGCCATATATTCCTGCCTCGGTAGGAATACTGACATGGGACAATGCTGACATAGTGGTGTAGAAGTCGTGAGCACATTCTAAAGCACCTACCACATAACTACTGCTGCCCTTTACTGCAAAAGTAACATTAAGTTTGGGGGTTGGGCGGAGTCATTGAGAACAGGCATCAATTTTGTAAAAGAAATGCCTCTAAACAGCTAATGAACGATTCGGGTTTTTTTCCTGCTCGTGAACACGTCCCAAGCAAATCTCGTGTATGAATCGAATTTTGCTGTCCTATAGCATCTGTCGACGGTATTTAACGCACCTTTAAGGACAGCTAAGAAATCCTCTAAAAACGTGTTTTGCTAGGATTACATCAAGTCCAGCCCCCTGATCTAGGCAGGACCAATCCCATCTAAATCAACCCGGCCAGGGCTTTGTCAAGCCGAGACTTAAACACCTCTAGGGATGGAGACTCCACTACTTCTCTAGGTAACCCATTCCAGTGCTTCACCACCCTCCTCGTGAAATAGTTTTTCCTAATATCCAACCTGGATCTCTCCCACCACAACTTGACACCATTGCTCCTTGTTCTGCCATCTGTCACTACTGAAAACAGCCTCTCTCCATCCTCTTTAGAACCTCCCTCCAGGAAGGTGAAGGCTGCTATCAAATCCCCTCTCACTCTTCGCTTCTCCAGACTAAACAGACCCAAGTCCCTCAGCCTCTCCTCATAAGTCATATGCTCCAGCCCCCTAATCATTTTGGTTGCCCTCTGCTGGATCCTTTTTATAGTGGGGGGCCCAGAACTGGACACAATACTCCAGATGCGGCCTGTAAAGACATCTTTTAAAAGATTGAGCCCTGTTTCAATGACGCCTCAACAATCAAGTTTCCTTTAAAAAACCGCACCGCAGTTTATGCTGTATGTGCGACAGAATGCTAGGAAGCCTCGTACACCACGTTGCCGAATGTAACTATTACTAGCGGACACAGTTTCACTCAAATTCTAATATGCCTCCAGAAATGCGCTTAAAACCGGGACACATGGACTGGACGACTGCAGAAGTACATTCGCACACCCCATTTGCTTGGGACGTTCTAAGATGAAGGAAAAGCACCTAATTCTTCATTAGCTCTGTAAAGACACACTCGCCAAGCTCGATGCTTGTTTTCAATGCCTCCTCAAAGAGCACTTATCCTCTCAGGCGTGACGCAGCACAGTCTATATTACATCTGTGTTAGAACGATATCCTACTTTTAAACCAATAGCTCAGCACTGCCCACTCTAAGGAGCACAAGCAGCATAGAATGCGCTCCGTTCTGCTTCAAAAGAAACTTGATGTATACGGAGAGGTGGGGGCTTTGATAACAGGATTGCATTAGTAAATCATGTCTTTACAGTGCTAATGAACGATTAGGTTTTTTTCGTGCATGTGAGAACTTGGCAAGGCAATCTCGTGTGCGAATGTAGTTCTGCAGTCTTCCAGCACCTGTGGCGATTATGTAGCAACTTTCTGAAGCCATATAAGAATTTGTGTGAAACGGAGTCTGGCTAGTAAGACTTCTATTGGACAATGCTGAGTTAGTGGCGTTCATGAAGTCAGAACATTCTAAGGCAGAAACTGCGCTGCGAAGATTTGGGACTGTAGTGGGCGCTTCTGTGAAGCTGCATAAGAATGGGCGTGAAACACTGTTTGCTAGTGATAGCTACACTCGGCTATGCTGAGCTTTCAGAATGCTGTAATTCGTAAATTGTTACCAATACTTGTACACCCCCATCTCCGTCTTGACCAATATCAGTTATCCTAGCAAAACACGTTTTTAGAGTGTTGGAAATAAGCCAGGACACTCTGGATGAAGGTAAAACAAGCGGAGGATTTATTATACACTGGTAGATGGAGTGACACGCACGGGTTACCCTTGTGAATACTGGTTAATTAACACAATACAATAGGTTATATAATTAGCAGGTGGAGGGAGGAAAAACTATTTGATAGGTCTAGCAGCAAGACGAAATGAGCACATAAGCCAATAGAACTACTAAAGATTACATAATATCTCCGCCCATTGCAAAGTAACAACTCATTAATTAGTATACAGGTGGTTATTGTTCAAATGCCAAAACATGTCAGCAAAACAGTAATAACATTTTAGTCTGCATAGATGATGCTGTTTCTATAGCAGGTGGGTATAGCCTTGAGTTGGTGCAGGGCTTGGTTCTCAGGATTATTATCTAGGAGTGAAGCAAGACAGGTTAAGCAAATTTTATGAATGTTATCTTAAGCAAAATGTGTTACTTACTAGCTGGGACCCTGTCGAGTGTTTTAGAACGTGGTTGCTATGGTGCCCAGGGTCTTTTACTGCCGGCAGCCCTTACCCTGACTGTGGTGTTACCAGGCTTGATTCCAGGATGGAGTCATGCTATTTAGAGGCTTACTAGCACATTTAGGGCTGCCTCAGTTTACCCTACAGTTCCCTCCTTTTGACCTTAGGGTTCTCTGACCCGCCAGGTCAAATACAGTAATTTCAAGGTGTTCATTTTGCGCTGGAAGCAAACAGCATGAATGTTATGATTGAAACTTCCCACATAACTTGGGAAAACAGTACCCAAATCCACCCCTAGGGTATTTCTTTGCCGGTGAAGGCGCTGCCCATGATTTAGGTTTGACCTCTACTGCCTGGTCGAGTGCCTCAGAGGTAGGTGTTTGGCATGGTCCACGGTGTTTTCCTCGATCTTTGCCTGCACGGCCAGTAAACCTTCCTCTTGGTACTTACTTCTGCCGTGCCACTCAGGATCTCATGTTAGGTTACCTATCCCTGCTGAAGTGCGATAGTCAGGATCAACCGTCAGGATCGCCCTGTGAAGGACTGTTATGCACACAGACGGATATGTACAGGGGCAGGATGGAGTGATCTGTCTGGGTAGTCAAACACCAGTAGGTACCGTTTATTTGGACCAGCTCGATGTTTATTTGTTTCTCTGTGAGAACCACATCAAACCTAGGCAGATTCGTCATGGTGTTAAATGGGCAGGTACATAAAATTTCCTTATCAAAGTGGGTGCAATAATCCCTGGATACAGGGAGGATCCCACACCTTTAGAATAAGCAATGCCCTCTACTCTATCTGTATGCTCCTGCTTTGGTAGAGGCAGGGAGGTTACCATTCTGATCATTGTGAGTGAAGAATCCCCAGAGGAGCCAAAACAAACGGTCATACTATGGCCTGTCCAGGTGGGCCTTTGGGTCCTCATGAATTCTCTACTTCTCATGGATAGGCACAGGGAAGATGGGGACTCACCACTTCTATAAGGGCTGGGTGGTAGTGGCTAAGGCTTACCCTATTCTCAATACTGGCCTTTTAATTTCTTTAATTTAATTCCATTAATTAACAATCTAATTAGTCTCTGGTCCAAATATCTGGTTAGGTCTAGTGAAGTGGACACAGAGCTGGACAGATCCTTCAAACTATTTAGGTTTACCTGATTAGCTTGGCTGTCTAGGCCTTTACAGGCACTGGATATTACTGCATTTACCAGCTTGGATTTTATACAATTTCTGGGCTATGACGTAAGTGTTGCCGACAGAGTTTCCAGACCCAAACCAATCTGTGATGGTATTTGTTAAACCCCATTGTTGAATTAGGTGTTTACTAACTAATTAGCCAGTCTAGAACACAGCTGGTTTATACTAGGGTGGAATATTACCTTAGAAACACAGAAAATTAAACTACCCTTTGAAGAAGCCTGCTGCTAATCAGTCCTTTACATAATGAATTTGTACTAAACAAAAATGATTTCAACCAAAAACAACAGCAAAAACCTAGTGGCATTTTGGAAATAATTCTTTATAGTGTAATTATTATGTAGTGATTCTGGAATCAATGGTACTATTCACTGAGAAAGGTATTAAGTCTGAGTAAGGGTGACAGAATCTAGCCCTGAGAGAACAAACATTTAAAACAGTACTGACAGCCACATGTATTCCAAAACCATGAGTCAGCCCCCTTACCCTCAATTGTGTGATAGGCTTTTTAATCATCAGAGTCTAAAAAATAATGCTTTTTAAATTATTTATATCTGTCTTCTCCATTTTGAGCCTTTTGGGTTCATGTTTTTGTGACTCGAAGTCTGGTTTCATTGACTAGAATAACTGTTTCTTTTATAGGACTAAGCATGGTTTACAGATGTTTAATTGTTAATAGGAACCCATGCAATTCCATAATTCTTGAGGCCTTTTAAGGCATCAGGTACCAATGAGTAGCAGGGCAAGTAGCTGTTATTGCAATGGTGAGGTTACTAGTTTCCTCATTGTTGTGGGCATCTTTACTTAAACATGCTGATGTCCCACTTGCCCGTGTTGTTTCTTATAGATTTTTTATTATCTCTGGCTAAACCACTTTTATGGTTGGTGTGCAAATTTGCAGAAGCTAAATATTTCATTTGTGTAGCCATTAAAGCAAAACCAATCCGGTGGGGGAGGGGCTGGTATCCCTCTCCCAGTCCTTCTCTTCACGTGATGCGCTCCTTGCTTCCTTCCAGTTCTTTTTTTGTTCACCTGTGGAGACATTGTTAACATTCTTCTAGCCTAAATAATTACTAAACTATTATCCTTTTACTGAATTTTAAAGTTGACAATTGATTAAGTTTAGAGTTGCCAATTGATTGGGCCCAATTATTAATTTTGTTGGTTTAAATCCATGCTTCTACTTAAATTATTCTTTTATTAAATTATTCTTTTATTAAAACAATTTCTTATACACAACAACATTTGCAATATGTATTACAATTAAGACACATAAGACATGTCATGACACAGAACCATGGCTTTTTGTTGTTGTTATTGTTTGTTGTTTTTCTTCAGCTGGCACCAGCACTTTCTGATGATCTGAAAGACAAGAAAACATTTCTACCCACATTGGGGTAGTGCATTATATTTTAGAATACTTTTTCTTTACAGATGTTCTTTCCTAATTTTTATTAGCCTGCTGTTACCTAATGGTATGCTTTGTTTTGCACGCCAGCTTCAGAGGGTTTGAGTAAATTGCTTCATTGTTCAATTATTAAGTTAAAGATGACATGCTTCAGTTTCCCTTTTGTACTGCAGACCAGGCTCTTTTTTTTCTTTAATGTGTGAAGCTTCAAATAATTTACTGCTACAGTAACTTTTTCTTAGAACAAGGCACTTGCTAGTTACTATTTCAACAATCAAAAAAGGTTTTCTTTTCCTGAAAAGAATCATATACAATGTTACAGGCTTACTTATCGGGGACAGTGCCCCTCCCCCCTTCTAGAACAGACAGGCAGTTTGCAGACACACACAACCTTGGATCTGAAAGCAAGCTAAAAGTGCTATCAACTCAGCCTTGAACAGAGACACAGTGAAGTTTCAGGGCTTGGATTCATAAAACAATGGTTTGTTTTCTTAGGGTATGTCTACACTACAAAGTTAGTTCGAACTAACGGACGTTAGTTCGAACTAACTTTCCTAGGCGCTACACTAGCGCTCCGCTAGTTCGAATTTAATTCGAACTAGCGGAGCGCTTAGTTCGAACTAGGAAAACCTCATTTTACGAGGATTAAGCCTAGTTCGAACTAGCTAGTTCGAATTAAGGGGTGTGTAGCCCCTTAATTCGAACTAGTGGGAGGCTAGCCCTCCCCAGGTTTCCCTGGTGGCCACTCTGGCCAACACCAGGGACAACACCAGGGAAACTCTATTGCCCCCCTCCCGGCCCCGGACTCCTTAAAGGGCCACGGGCTGGCTACACAGTTTGTGCCAGTTGCAAGGCTGCCAGCACCCGTGCCAGCAGACCCTGCACCTGCCACACTATGAGCCAGCCACCCGAGGACACCCAGCCCTCCACTGTTCCCCACGACCAGCCTGGCGGCTCCCAGGAGCCTGCCCGGGGGCGCAAAAGGCGGACGCCCGCTTGGTCAAGTGCGGAGATCGTGGACCTCATCGAGGTTTGGGGGGAAGCCAACTTTGTAATGTAGACATACCCTGGGGGGGTTAGATGTTCTTCCCCCCCTCTTTCAGGCCTGCCTCATATGCTTGGAATCCTGACATGGGGCAATGCTGACATAGTGGTGTACAAGTCGCGAGCACATTCTAAAGCACCTACCCCAGAATACTGCTGCACTTTACTGCAAAAGAAACGTGAAGTTCGGGGTTTGGGCGGAGTCATTGAGAAACAGTGATAGCGGGCAGTGTCCTCGGGCTTCAGGCGGGACATTGGCAGGGACAGCAGGTTGTTGGGATTGTCCCTGGAGATGGTGAATCGGCCTTTGCCTGTGTCTGCGCAGCTTGGACCCGACCCACTTGCCGGGAGCCTGAGGGGCTCAGGTCATATTGTATCTGCTGAAGGTGACGCCGGAGGCTTTGCAGGAGAGGCGCAGAGAGTCTCCGGGCTTCTTCACATCCCCTCCGGACTCCACCAGCTGCACCTGGGATCGGACACCTGCGAATAAAGGGTTAGAAGAACCGGTATAAAACCAGCGAGAATTGCCTGGGCTTTTGGATCTGTCATTTGATTAGGGGCCCAAAATACCTTCCAAATCCGCTACAATGAAAACCGTCGCGACCCAAAGTCTCATTGTCCCTGATGCTGGAGGGAAAGTCACTGCGGATTGTCTCTGTGGGTGCAGAGTGCAGAGAGAGGCACCGATTTAAACAGGAACCGCTCACCCCTATTTGCATGGCCCGCTGCTTAAAACAGACCCAAGCGCCTTTCCCCCAGGCTGCGAATTTCTGTCTAAGGGCCCTGGGCGAAGTCAGAGCCCCCGCCCCTCACTGTGTCTGTGAAGCGCTCAGACCCAGGGCGATGGGGTGTCAGGAGCAAACGAAGCAGCTGCCGCGTGTGAGCCCAGTTTCTTGGTGATGAATTCAGGGGTTGAGTTTCACCACCTCATGCGGTCCCGAGAGGAAGGTTTCGGGGGCCCCGCCCGTGCGGAGATGGGGTCAGTGTGGTCACAGGGTTGCACGAGGCTGGGGCACTCGCTGGAGGGGTACACATCAGGGGCTGGCGAGCTCGGTGTGTCCGGCAGACTTTCCCCAGAAGCAGGCGGGGAATGCGGATTTGGGATCAGCCCAGGAGGGTGACACACAAACCGCAGGCGAAGGCAGCAAGGCGGGGACAGCAGGACTCAGTGGAGCCGGGATTTGTGTGGAGGGGCTCGGTCAGAGGTGGAGCAATGGCAGGGACTGTCCCAGCAGCAGGGAGTGACAGAGCCAGGGGCAGATCCCCGCGTCTGACTCCCAGACCAGCAGCCTCACCCCCAGTGCTCAGGGCGGGATCCCAAGGAACCCATCCCCCACAAAACAGGCAAAGCAAGCTATTTCCCTTCGTACCGTTTGGCTTTTCGAGTGTAGCGGGGGCGGGGCGGAATGGTATTTGTGCGTCTAGAAACCCCTTCCTGTGTTTGTGACAGGCCCTGCGTTGCTCTGTGTCACTGTGTCTGTCACTGTCTCTACTTTTCTGGCGCAGTAATAGGTGCCGGTGTCTGCAGCTGTCAGCGAGCGGAGCTGCAGCGAGACCTGGTTCTTGGCGGTGTCCCCAGAGATGGTGACTCGGCCTTGGAGAGACGGGGCGTAGCCTGTGCTCCCAGCATACGGATACACGTATCCCATCCACTCCAGCCCTTTCACAGGAGGCTGCCGGACCCAGTGCCAAGCGTAGCTGCTGTCACTGATGGACACACCCGAGACAGCGCAGCTCAGGGCGAGGGTCTCTCCAGGCTTCACTGTCCCTGGGCCCGACTGGACCAGCTGCACCTGGGAGAGGACACCTGGGGAAAGGGAAACAAAGGAGGAAAAATTCAGCCACCGAACCAACCCACGGTTCTGTCCCTGATTTCTCCACCTGCCCCGGTCTCAGCCACACTCACAGCCGGGGGCGGCGAGCAGGGCCAGGAACAGCAGCAGAGGTTCCATTCTCGTTCCCAGGCACTGAGGGAAACTCCCCAGCGGGCCGTTCTGTGTCTGAGCAGAGACAGAGGCTCCTGGACCTGGGGGGCTGGATTTGAACAGCAGGGCCTGGGCAGGGATTTGCATGCGGGTTGCACCCAGCGGATATAAGGTGACAAAGGGACGCCTAAGGGGGGAGCGGTGTCTGCCGCAGCGGCCTCCACCACGGCATCAAGTACGGGCTGCGCTGGGGACCCGAGTGCCACGTGCCTTAGGACTTAGTGGGCTTAGCGGGTCGGTGGATCCCAGCCCCCCAGCAGCGGCTCCTGGGAATGGACAATAAACAGACACAGAAGCAGCCAGTCGCAATGAGGTGCCGGTGGGATGAGCGG